CACAGCCTCGAAACTGACCCAGCAAAAGTGTCGACATCGTCAGTCGTTGTTATAAAAGTTCTTGTATCACTTCCACGAGCATTAAACTAACAGAATTCAATCCTTTCTCGTCGTAAATTTTCACAAAATCCTTTACAACTTCGAAATGTCCATCGATGAAAGCGTTAGATCGGAAATTCTATACAAGGTTGTTTCAATATATAAACTCAACCAAAAATCAGTCGAAGTCGGGCAGAATACGCAATTATTGAAATTAACGAAGTACAGCTTTGAATCTAACAGTAAAAGCTCGTAACATTCACAACTCACAAAGGTAATCCCGTTTCCTCTCTCGGTTACGTGTTCCGTGACTGTTCCGCGTGTCGGATCGTCTGTCGTGCCACGGGTCCGAATATTAAATGGAATATCGTATTAAATACTGAGCACTCGTATATTGACTAAACTGTTTTCTGCTTTTAAACTCGCGTCCGACAGAGATTCGACACGTCCACGAAGGTTGTGCAACAAGCGCGCTGAACTTCAACTGGTTTCACGGAGACAGTTTCGAATTTGGTGAACCATCTTCTCTTTGATCACTGTTATTGCAATATTAAACGAAGCTTGTTTACAACTGTCTTGGTGGAATAAATGTATAATGACTTTGTGAGACTCTCTCTTCTCTTCGTAGAACACTTTCGTCCTAACAATTCAAGGAACCGACCTGAACTGATACTTCTTGGATCTTAATGATTGGATTTAGGCTTTCCCAATAAGGGTGGGGGACACTATTGAGGTGTCCGACCAAATCCACTAATTACGACCCTGGAAAGACCCTTTCAATTGCGGAAAACACATTTGGTGGATTATACCTACCAAGGGTATTGCTTATCTAAACTGCAGATGTTTGGGCAAATATAAATCTTTATGCGTGAATTTACAGAAACTGAAAACAAAGAGAGGTTTATTTGCTTTATAATGGGTTCTAGTAGAAACCGAATGAAACAAAGATTTTAATTAAATTAACTAAGCATATTTTACTGTATTGAATTTTAGACGGTCGGATATTTTATAAATGTATAAAATTCACAGTCTATTGTTGACTTGGTAGGGTTTTAATAATCTTATTCCATTTGTTCCACCAAGAATACGTAATAAATAATTGTCGATATCGCTTGAATGTTTGGGTACACCTGTGTTTCTTGAAAACTGATGTTTCTGTATTTTGTATTATTTCAATTACTTTTTCATGTATGTCATCTCTAGGAAAATAGGAAATAGACATTTAAATTTACGTAAAGAATTACATTCAAATGAGAATTGAAACTTACGGAAATTTAGTTTGGAACAAATAAAAGAGTACGATAGAAAGTTCTTTCGAAAATATGACGGTTCATCGATGAAGTGTAGTTTTATCACTCTATTTACTTTTGATAAATAATTGTGATACAGAAGAACTATTCTAATATAACAGTATATGTGTAGGAGGAAATGGAAAATTCTATTTTTGATTTTTCATTTCCATCTATACATATACTGTTATAATTGATTTAATTTACGTTTTAATAGATAAATTACGTGAAAATAAGAATTGTGGTTATGTAAGAGCCATGCTTACTCATATTGTACAAGACCAATACTGACAACGAAGATGGTATTTCTCTTTAATTTCGAACAGATTTGCCGTTCTTGTATTGCTTGCTTCATCAAAAGAAAATTCAGAAATTATTATCCACGCGCACACCAAACCTTTCAAGCGACAATTGCAGTGAGCAGACCCATAAATCTTTCATGCCCTAAATTGTTTTACTTGAAATCGTCAGAATACTTATCAGCATTGCACTACTTAGCTTTATAAGACGTTTGAGAATGCCCCGACGACATGGTACAAGAATAAACCGCTCAAGTTACAGTTAACCTTCTCAAATTCCTAATAAAGTCCACTTGCGATGCTGCTGAAATCACGGCATATTTATCGTAATCACAATTAACTTAACGTAACTAAGAACAATATATCGCTACCTCGTAACCAATTCACATTCGTTTCCTCGAAATTACATTTCGTTTACTTACACTCGTCACAATTTTCTATTCGACGCGTTCCGATAACGATTTTATCTAGGAAAGGGGATTCACTTTGCGCCGACAAACAAGAAAATTAAGCCACCTATGGCGTCCGTTGACGGATAATCCGACGTGGGCTCTTTTCACAGGACAAATCGCTAAAATTGTTTTGGCCATTTAGAGCGAGTGGCGTGCGGTCGGAGAGCAAGAGATTACAATACGAGAACCAGGCTTCGGCGGTCGCTCAAAATCGTGAAGCTTTTCGAAAGCTGTTTACAATAAAGGTGGAGCTCGTTCACGGACGAGAGATTGCGTCTCGATCGGGAACGAGCTCGTCGGGAGACGTTCCTCGCTAGGGGATCCGCGGCGGACTCGCGTGGTTCGAAGGGCGGGCACGATTTAAAAAAGTAAATATACATTAACAGGCTCGTGCTCCTTCGAATCTCATCGCAAGTCCTGGTTTTCCCGTTACAAAAAAATAGGGGGACCCGTCTCGTATCGTCGCTGAAGTTCCATGAATCCCGCGAATTTCGAGGATCCCGAAGCCTTTGTGAAACGTTAGATCGAAGAAGTTTGCGAGTAGCTGTTGTGTATACGGTGTGTGTGTGTGTGTGTGTGTGTGTTTTGTACGTGTGTGTTCGGTGTGTCAGGTGAGGAGAGAGAGTCTGTGTTTGTGTGTGTGTGTTCGCGCTTGTACAAGCGTGTACAGAGGGACAACAACGAACGATGTCCGCCGATAGAAGGGAAAGAAAGGCGTTTTAAGAAAAATGAGGAGAGATGCTGCGCTAAGATCAATCGTCAACCGTCAATTATCCATCCGTCCATACGTGGATATGCGTTCTCCGTGTCCCATTACCACCATCATCATCCACCCCCTCCCACGTAATCTCCACATCGCGTCACCATTTGTATTCTCCACATTACAGCTCGTTCAACGCGGGATATCCACTTACGAGCTAACAGAGAACAATATTTTAAACGCCCGTGCTTTACGCACGCGCCACCTTAAATCGTAGTATAAATCCCCCGTTTTACTTATGTTGTCGTCGATTTACTTACTAGTGATACAGATAAGAAAATTCACTGGCATTGTTTTGAATCATCTTGGCAGTTCATTGTGTGTAGTATTTTATTTTACTGATCTCTCGTTCACGTCTTTATCCATTTCGATATTTCTCTCTCTACCTCTCTTTCTCTTTCAAATATATACATATAGTATATATATATATATATATTTTTTTTTTCATAATTACATTTTCAGTTTTGCGGAATACTTAACGTGTGCGCTTTGCTGTTAATCGTCTTTGCTTCATTGTTCTTCTTTTTTCTTCTTATACGTCTGGTTTTCTCTGTAAGCACAATAAAAGGAGCAGTGTACCCTTCTTCAGCTTCTCGCTCTTTCGTTTGTATCTCTCTCCCTTCGTTTCTCTCTCTCTCTCTCTCTCTCTCTCTCTCTCTTTCTCTCTCTGTTTCTCGCGTGAGCTTACTAGTTTCCATGAGATTCTCTCTCGTTCGGGCGGAAACCAGGGCCAAACGAAAAAATTGTTTCGTGACCATGGACCGCACCGGAAAACTCGATTTATCCTTTAACAAATTCAAATGCTTCGACGGTCCTCGGTGTTCTGTATTTTCGTGTCGTGTATGCGCGTGTCTGTTTTTCCGTGTACGTGTACGGCGTGTGTGTATATGTCCCCTCTGTTGTGCACGCATCCACGCGGATTTATTTGCATCCCAGGCGCGAAAAATAGACATTTCCCACGTTTTAGAGGAACCGTTCTTCGATAACTCCGATGGATGGAATTTTTTCGATACAAATGAAATAAAACACCGATCCTGTCAAATAATAGAAATTCGTGAAATCGTTAAAGGATTATCAAGAAATTATTTTCGACTTATTTTCAGACGGAAAAATGTCATGCCACGGTTGCTCGTAATAATAGAAAGCACATATTAACATTTTAACTCCCAGTATTGCACCGATGCAACACTCATTTTGAAAATGCGTCGAATTCTGTCGCCGCTTAATATCGAACTTTTATTGGCAAGGATCCGTAGTTTCACTCGTATGACGCAGATCTCAACGTTTCTGGATCAGAAATATGGCAATTATTACCTCCAAAATAACTGAAAGAAGAATAAAATAAGTCGTTTTAATATCGATATTTTCGACTTCAAAATAACAAGATACAACATACATATCAGCCTCATACTTTTGAAATAATCTGAGCGTTAAAAGGTTAACTGAACTTCCCTGCTTCTAGAGTTTCCGTCCCATTCAAGGAATCCGAAATAAAGTAACCCACATCCAATTCATCTGATTATTGATTAATATTTAAATTGAACCGATCAAAATCGCGAGACTCAAACGACCCGTGTTTCACATGCCACAGAAGCCTTATCGTTCCACGATAGGGACTCGCAGATAGAATCTGAATCTCGAAAGAAGTATCGTCGAACGCGAGGATGCCTAGTGATCCCAATCCTTCGGATTCCAGATCTATAGGGTGGACAGGGACGCGCATACCTCAGCGTGCTGCGTGCACCAGGATGTGTGTATGTGTGTTATCCCCTCGATGGATTGTGTAACACGTGTGTCAGTGTCCCATTCATGTCCCCCTAACCCCATATATTTCATTTAAATATCGTAAAGAACGAAGAGCGATAAATCTTCGCGATTGCATTTCAATCCTATCGCGGGCGCGGATGCCCTGGAACGTGGCGACGCACGAGCCTGAAAGAACGGGACCACCGACACGGGACGAACCACCAAGCGTAGAAACGTCGTTGTAAAACGTCGCCCGCGGACACCAGCCGCATCGTTTTGCGCCCGGCGAACGCGTCGCCGTCGTCCCGAACGGGGGACCATCAACGTGTCCATCGCCGTCCGCACCGACACGATGCGCCCGAGCACTATCCTCGTCGACCTCCGACCTTCCGGCGGCAGTCTGTGTATATATGAATCACGTGACGATGATGTGCGGCGCCGACAGCAGGACGGTGATGGTAGCGATGATGGTGAACAGAGTAAAAATGATTAGGCACATTCTGTCGATCACCATCGCCGCGAACTTCCAGTCGTTCGTCACCTTCGTGTTCAGCTCCTCCGACTTCAGCTGATCCGTTATTATCTGGAACAGAATAGCGCACGGTGTAACGACGTTTCCGTTTATAAGAACCACCCCTTAGGAAATAATATTGCATTAAATAGAATAAACGTTCCATGTTAAGTATGAAATATCTGATCACCAGTGGCCACCTTGCCAGGAGAATTGCGTGTTGTAGGGAGACAGTTGGCTCCCGGGAGCTAAAACTTGTCCCCATCACTATCCACCGTTACCACGGAATAGTTTAGTTTAGTATAGTATAGTACGTGATCTCCCGGGAGAGGGGAATTTCAGCTATGACTCAGCGTCGTTAGCTCTCTAATAGTACCGCAATTGGGACTACCGTGGGCGTTACCCGGAGAGCTATTTCCCCCGACTTTCCAACCGTCCCAATTTCTTAAGGCCCGGGCCACACGGAGGAGGGGAAGTACTCGTGCGGAGAGTCATTAGGATCGTCCCATCCCTACCTGAGTAACAAGCTATGATGTTGGACGTTGGGGCAACCGATCCTTCGTCTCCTTAAATGAGTACCAGCTCACTCTTCGCTTCACCTACAAACCGAGTCTGTACAAATGGGGGTTTAATCGTATGTAACGTCATCGTTGAGAGAGAGCTGTATCTTCTATTTTAACCCCCTATCAGTACCTGCCTATGTCCCGAATAAGTCAGGAACACCCCCACCCCTGTCACAACAAAATACCACTCCCATTCACACTAACACGGAATAACAGTAACAAGAATACGAGGTTCTTTGTCTCTACGAAGGCACACAGCGCAAAAGTACGGTTGGAAAGAGAAGCAAGCGCGTGAGGATCCCCTACGATGCCCAGCACTGACATAGAGCTTTATACACTGGTAAGACTTCTGTACATCACGCTAATATTACTACGAATGAAAGCGTAACGTCCCGTTCCCACACACGTATACCCCCTCCACTACTCCCTACTACGCCCCTCTGTCCCTACGTAGCCATGTTTTCCCTACTTCTGGAATGTTGCTAGTAGCAAATGGTCTACAACGTATTATTTGTATTTATTAGAGGTGTGGGGATATCAGAGATTACAGGATCAAGTTGAGTCGGAGAAATTCGAGAGAGATCGTATGAGATCTTGATACTCCCGTAATGTTCAGGATCCCGAATCTCGACTCGGGCTATAAGAATGAGCGGGTAGTCCGCCTTTAGGTTGGCTAGAGAGATCCAGATAGCTGTCTTCTCTACCTAGCTCGAGGGCTTTCGAACCGATCTCGTCTGGTTTTTCCCGTCCTGGCCAGAAGGTCGGATTCTTGAGATTCGGGACGATCTACGCATACCTAGTATTTATGTATAATATAGATATCAGGATACGTATCTTTATTTACTTTCGAATGAAGGGTAAGGGGAAGAAACAGGGTTTGTACAGTTTGTAAATCTTACGATGTAAAACGAATTCTGTTGGTGGCAACCCGGACTACAGAACTGCGGAATTATAAAGGAATAGAAAGTAGAAATGTCGAAATAAGATAATGTTACAAGTTTGGTGCACGGGTTAAAAACAGTGGGTAAGTAATATAAAAAAAATTGACATTCGCAATGAGGTGTTTTGTGACATTTCTACTTTCTTCCCCTTAACTTTTAAATTAATACAGAGGAAGAAAGTAAAAGGATGATCGTTATTATTTCCACTGTCGTAGGTCGTAATTTAGTAAAATGTTAAGTAGTCCTGTAGTGATCCCGTAAATCTGACTCCTCCAAATTTCACCAACTTATGACCTACTAGATGTAATGACCTTATACATAAAGCACGCCGTTGAACTCGTATCAAGAAATGGATAATATGTTTAAAAAAATGACGCATTCCGTTTAAAAAAATTAACCGAACGTTGGAATCTTCCCACTACTCTACCTAAAAAATATAATTTGCACCACATTATGTCTCCCTGGATACCAAGTAAGTTTTGTAAGAACATTTTTTTGATACCTTCAGTTTCTTACGAGATATTCCATCTGGGTTAGATAAAACAGACTCTCTGTACAAATAATTACAGCACTGATTCAACTGTTTGCTTGAATACTTTCAGCCAGGCGTAATATACCCTGGCCCCCTCAAATACCTCTACGTCGGGCCAAGAGGGTTGCTCTCGAGGATTGCCCCCAGTGGATCTTACTAGTGGACACAGACGCGAGAGTAACACTCTGACGATTATTATTCTTCAATGAATGTTGTTTCTACACTTGAGAGTCTAATTCGCGGGAGTTCACTGCCGAGTGGACACGGATGCGAGACTGACCCTCATGTGGAAATGTAGGATAAGATGAAATCCGGATCATGGATTAAAGTTATAGTCTTATTCTGGCAAAAAAGGATATAATACATGTAGTAAGTACTGTTGAAGGTATAGTATACCAAAAACAAATTTATTTCTTTATTCAAAATGAATATTATTCTTTTGGCAGCCACTATTCTTTTAGAAATTTTCAGATCTGGTATTCTCTAGACTTTTTACTGCTTGTCAATACTGAATTACAATACTGATAAATATTTTTTGGTAAAATTGTACCAAACGATATAATAATAACATCACAGTGACTAGGAATTCTACGAAAACTTTCACAAGAACAATTTTCAAATTGTTTAAAATGTTTAAAATAATGAGTTAAACAGAATACTGATTGGTAAAATACTGAACAGATTAAAGTGAGCCATCAAAATGATTGCTATATAAAATTAGCGAATGAGAGAAGTAGCTTGATACAGATAAAAATTGTTTTTATTCTTCGCATCACGTAACGGCCAATTAGTTACTCTCGAATATAAATTAAGAATATCGGAATGAAACAATCTAGATTTAAATGTGCATAAAAATTGTTATTGGTTTCTCTTAAAATATCCAAATTAAAGTAAATATTTGAGAAACAAAGTGTTCTCGTTAAAGATCGATAAAAAATATTTGTTATGTCCCTTATTTAATGAATAAATTTCTGTAACATATGGGAAATAAAACGTATCGTATTAGAATATACCATTGTTCTGCAACAATTTCAATTATATTTTATCTAACGAAGTGTAAAGTTTCGGTTCAGTACGCGGTTCATAATTTCGTACGCTGATAGGTTTCGAGTGTTTGACTTCAGAGGATCTGTTCCGAGTGGAGAAATGGGCGGAGCTTAATAATACTGCACAAACAATCATAGAACAGAGAATGATTTCACGCCCATCAGCAGACTCAACTTATACGTAATCTCCGGTTGTATAGGTGACCTCATACAGAAGTTTGAGCATGAATACGCGATGTGAAATGAACGTACACATCCTACTACCATGTTGAAATGATAATAGATTAATTTTGGAAACATGGAATATTCACCGATGCATTACTTGTGAGCACCTGGGCCAATTAAAGAACAAAAGTCAAACAAAAGTAGTGTAATTAACTATGGAATCAATTTTCACAGAAAGTCAATTAGCATCTATTGTAGCAACTCCAACGTATAGCATTTAATCGTTCGTCCTTAAAACCCTAAAAGAAGAATTATTACATAATTGTCCTATTTGATATACCTTACTACAAAAAGCATTGTAAACGACGATTCCAACAAGTTTTCACTTCCTTTTACAGTTTGAGGTATAGTGCAAAAGGAGCCATTAAAAAAATGTTTCTCTCACTTCCAGAGACATTGAAGTGAATACTTTTTATTGATCCGTCCTCATATTCTCCTCTAACAGGCCACATTTCCCAACGAAACTTCAATTTTCGTCCACAAAGGGTTACATAAAATTAATGTTCGAGCAACAGATGACAACGTGAAGACTGAAGCTTCGAGAAGTTTTCATAACTGTCTAAGGAACCCACGAAATTGTACCTACGAACCCAAACAAATGAAACATTCAATGGGAAAGCGGTGAACCACTCACAAGGGAAGTTCGGTAACCCGAACATTCCGATTTTTTTCAAACTTTGCAGATTTGTACGGGACCTCAAGAGAAGTATAGCGCAATTTTTGTTTTTGTCCCAATTTCAGTTCTTCAGAGTGAAAACATCCCTTGAAGATAGATAAGTATTTCCATATTTCCCTGTATATATTTAAAATTAACGTAGATATAAAAAAATGGTTATAACAAAAATTGATTATTTATTGCTCTATAAAACGGTGCAATTAAAGTGATAAAAATTCTTCGTTTAAATAAAAACATCCTCCTCCACTTTTCTTAATTATCAATTTAATTACATAAGTCATTCAATTTTTGTTATAACCATTTTTTTATATCTACGATAGTTTAAAAAATATACAGGGAAATATGGGAACACCTATCTACCTTCAAGGGATGTTTTCACCCTGAAGAACAGAAATTGTGCCAAAAACAAAAATTGCGCTATACTTCTCATGAGGTCCCCTAAAAACCTGCAAAGTTTAAAAAAGAAAATCGGAATTTTCGGGTTACCGAACTTCCCTTGTCAGACAGGTGTATACCTTGATCTCCTTGAGGATCAGGATGAGCTCGTATCTCGCACAAAAACACGCGTTCTGGAGTATAGTTTCGACTTGGGGGCCAGGCGTTTCTGGTGGATGCTGATGATGGTGCGGCGTGTGACCGATCTGGTGCGCCGGATAAGAGGAGTGTGCCAATGGCGTTGCGTGTTGATGATGCGGCGTCGCGGCGTGGCTGTGGTGATGATGAGGCGTCGCGTGTATGTGACTGTGCCCGTGGCCCATCGTGTGGGGATGGTGGGGACCAGGGGTGCTGTACACATTATTCAGGAGATTGTTGTGGGACGCCAGGGCGTTGTCCTCGAGGTCCAGGACATTCGCCAAGAGGGACTTGCTGCTTCTCTGATGCAGCTCCAGGTCGCCGTATGTCTTGCTAGTACCTGTTCCAACAAAATGTTCTGATAAACAAATTTACCATCATCCATAAAAGTTGAACCATTTTCCCCATCATATTCACTTCGGAAAGTAACACTTAGGATCATTTAGGAATGCAGAGTAATGTTTGAAACAGTAAATCGAGCGTATTATACTTCTCTTAAATTGTCCAGTGTCCTCCTTTTGTGTTAAAACGTTTTAACCTAGGTGTGGGCATTGAAAATTGAGTGTTTCTGAATTTATTTCGATTTCTTTATGCTCGGCCAGGGTCATTATTGATTCCTGTGGAGTATACTAGAGTTGCAAAATAAGAATCTGACGGATTTAAAATAAAAGTCCAAGGAGGTCATTTCAATTGATCACTCATACAACATGCCCATTAAAATTTTTTCTTTATTTTAGTATGCAGATTCACTGTCTTAAACGTGTCATGCATTCATGAATCATCTTATATTGGACGTTGGCAATTAAAGAATGGTACTTGGTGTAATAAGAAATATTAGTTTGAAGATAGAATTTGTGTAAATTACTCAGAAAAAGGATGGTGTTAAGTTCTACAAGTCATTTTGAATCTTTCTGCTGGGTTTCCCTATATATATGTATACCAAAACAAAATTGTTCAGGTTATTTATAAACATTTACATCAGGAATGATACGTTAATCAAGCTTATATCCATTTGTTCCTCTAAGTCTTGGCTCTAACATATGTATTATGAAATTTCAATATTACTTATCTCTTTTTAATAATTGATAATGAAATCAGTTTATGACTTAACGTATGGTATTAATCTACTGGAAAAAGAAATTAACACAAGGAGAGGTAATTTTTAAATGCTAACATTGATACGTAATTTTTGAATGTAGAGTCACGATTTTTGATTAGATAAATACAGTGGCAGGGTGTATACGCATGCACGTGACTTTGGTTCATGTCAGGTACAGTGATTTATAGTGTATTGTGCACGTTCCGGTATTTTGTTGCGTCAGTTCATCGTGATTCGTGTGAAATAGTAATGAAACATTTATAGAGACAGTAGCAGTTGTTTTCAGTACTTGTATCGATGCTTTTTCGTGTCACTATATTACCGGTGACTGGAGATGGTTTTTGAGACTTTTGCCCTTCCTTCTCGTCCTTTTCAACAGGTCGTGACATACGAAGTAGACAAGGCAGCCAATAAAGAAAAACCACTCTCACCTGTAAATCAGAATCGAGATGTAATTAAGACTGTGACATAACGATTTGTTCTCTAACAATGAATCGCAATGACAATAATATTTAAAGACCTTGGATTCATATGAAATTAATAATTTTGAATTTCATTACAATTTTATTTATATTTATTTATTGAAATTATTTGGTATGTATTATAATATTTAGAAAAAGGTTGCTTCTTTTAGACATATTTGTTGCTACAATATTTCTTTACAGTACTTTAGCTCATAGAAGATGAATTGTAAAAGCAGCAAACCGACTTCTTCAAAAGTATTTAAGCAGTTAAAGAAATCTATGAAAATGTGAAGCGTGATGTCGCGAGTAGTATCAGGAATTATATCTTCAAGTAGTTTATGTCAATAATACCTGAAATTTAAGTAAAAGTCCAAATTGCCTACTTGTTGTTTATATATAATAAATATAACTATATTACACTCGAATACAATACCGTTACTGTTAATGCAACAAAATTTTGCTAGATTATGGCTTCAACAGCCATATAAAACTGGAATACTTATTATCCGGTTCCCACTAAATAATCTGATTACAATGAATCATTAGCCAAGTCTGCTTTCTATATAGAATTATCTGACGAGAACATTAATTCTCTCCATATTTTCGACAAAAGGCGTAAACGATTAATCCAACCTTTCGAAAAAATTTCAATATCAATGGATTTCAGGTAAATGCCAATCCTCGGTTTTCTTATTTCACTTCTTACGTGGCATCGAATACAATACCCATAAGGTATTAATGTTCGATGTCGTTTATGCGATTCTCGTAACCCAACGGGATACGATCGCCCGTAAAATCCGTGCGGGAAAATAATCTCGTGTCACTCAAACGGGTGAAACGAGTTAACGACGAAAGTAAACCTGAAGGGCACTTTCGGGCACATGGTCTCACGCTAATTGAAGCCAAGTATACGATGAGTTCGTCCACGGAGTAGCTTCAGAGAGTGCAGATGGACGAGACGAGACGAGACCTCCGATTTCGGTCAAAATAATGCAGAGACTACATCCACCGAGTACATGAAAAATGTGAAAAAGGAAACTACGAAGGCGAAGCACATAATTTTAAAAAAATACAAACTGCTAGCATTAGTATCGTATAAACTACGATTTTTCGTTACTAAAGATACAATCTTCTGCTACGATTCTCGGTATTCAATTTTAGCTGAGATCGTACTGTTGTTGTTGAAAAGATTATAGCAATAATAATGAGGTTTTTATTTTATGACAGAAAAAATAAAGGTAGCTAGTGGTGTCAAGGTAAGGCGGTAAGCCTTTTGATGGTTTTTCTTCGAAAAAAAAAGCTGTATTGAACTTTACGAACGAAGAGAGCATTTACTATTTTGGTTTCTACGAATAACATTCACTTTATTAATTTGCAATTAATTTGCAATTACCAGCCGTTTGTGTACTACAATGAATCCTCGATTAGTGTTCGAAGGCTCCTCGGCACTGATAAGGACAGGTCCCCAGGTGTAACGCTGACTTTTTAATGAGGTTCAGCACAATGATAGAGCATGGAATTCTGAAGCCAATGATATTTGTTTCAGCCGCATATGTCCATTAGTTTATGAAATATTTAATGTTCAGAGCCAAGGAGACTTCAAACAATCATCGAGCATATACTGTACTTTCTTTCCAGGTATCATCGAAGATGAAAATGTCTGCCGTAGTTATAGACGAAATCTTAGGACTCATTAAATGTTAGAGAAACTGGACACTAGTATAAATATGTTTAATAGAATCATTACTATAGCTCTCAGAACAAATTCGACGCTTTTCAATACATTGACAGGGCAAATATCAAACAAGGACTTACCCACTCGGACATTTCGTGTGTGTCAGGATTTCGGTGATGATAATTCAAAATAAGGATGGTGCTGACAACACTGCTGGCCACCATGAACATGATACAGTTGAAGTACGTACCTGCGGAAACATGAAAGAATTCAGAACCTTTTTCGAATTGAAATTAAACTCTTACTCCTTGAACGATAGCGATCGAGACACGATAACCACGCATTAAGATTTAACTGGCGAATGAATCCTCGAACATTCATTAAACAAACGAACCAGACATACCATAAACAGGTACGCATAAACAATTTGTAAAAAAAAATTTAAATGAACTCATTGTGTGTCCATGAAATGTTTGATCGTTTAAAATCAGCAGGGACCCGTTCAACGGCACAATATTCCGTAAGAGTACGTATCCGTGAATATTCTCTTCCCCCAATGGAACACAAAATACTCGCGAAGGTACGGTTTCCCCTCGTTCATGATCGCCTCTTTATCGCTACGACGAAAATGAAATGCAGTCTGAAGAGGGTTCGAGTCGGAATAGAACCCCGCCGAGCTAATAAGAGATTAAATAAAGCGTTTGGAAAATCATAGTCGAATATCAAGCAAGTGGTTCCCCCCATTCAACGAAAACACGACCCCGGAACATGATCCCTCGAATTATCGATCCGACGATTTCATGACGTTCGCTCCGGACCGTCTGGTATTCAAGACGTCAACGAACGTTTTGTTCTGGAAGCCAATGTCTGACCCGCACGATCTGTTACTACTGACAGGCGAGTACCACTGTCAATGGAAACTGGCCCCGGCTCTGCAAATGGAAGATTGTCAGTCAGGGATAAAGGGTCGTATATACAATAAGCCTCGGTGCGCGATATAGGGGTCAGAGCTGTGTCGCATCTAGATCCAAGATCTATGCGTAAGCCCCTCTTCTCCCAACAGCAAAAAGGGATCCTTGGTAAAGAGCTTCTTCGAGGGAGTCACTGTATCGAAGGATCTACTTCTCCACCACGGACGTATCACGATAATAAATCGCACGTGCATTTCGTCTTTGCTCGATGATGATAAATATCGCGATTTTTCCTGGTGAAAATGAATATCGAGTCGCGTGCGACGTAATGAAATATGCTTGAAGTTCGCGAGCTTTATCACTGTCGTAACTCCAGGACCGGTCTTTTATATTTATTTCGCAGGCCGTTTTATCACGGGGCCTCGTTCTTGCGGTGAATATGGATCAAAGTGGGATCCTTGCGTCTTTTAATAGAAAGAACGGAATACAGGATTGTCAGGAATTTCGTAATATTGTTCGCTGGAATGTTTACTCTTTTATGTATTTTTAATATAGAATTTTTTTGAATATCATGGTTGATTTTGCATTTGGAAACATTTTGACAGATTATAAAATGATTGAGTAATTACGGTGGAGGATTAAGAATTAAAATTTATTGTGACTTCCGTGGTTTGGGGGACATGAAGGAGGAATAAATATTTCTTTCGAATACCGTACCGAATTCTACCTTGCGTATTCTGATATTATGTTGCAATCGATAACAGTACCGGAATTTTCACTATGATAGTGAAGATTCAGTTTCAATTGCGATTCCGATCACATACATTTGTGGAATAATTATCATATACGTGTTGAAAATTGTTAGAATCTAACGACAGGTGAATAAACTCGACGTGATTATAAATTACATTTGCCTTATACCTCTACATCCTGAATCTTCTTCGTAACTATAACAAAATTTATATAACTTAAAACCAACAAATATATCCACCTTTAAATACAAATTAATAATGAATTTACAATTCTAAAAGATTTTATTATTACTCCAATATCTCAAGGTAGAATTGATAATCGCTACAAAGAATCTTATCTATATATAGCGAAAAAAAATTAAATTATACCAAAAAAATATCGATATATTTAAGAGTCACAGGGGACTGTAGAGGGTTAAATTTTCAAGAATGTACGAAAGTTCGTGTTTGAATATTACGTAATAAAATTAATATTCTATTTTTTATATCGACTACTTACTTCCAATTGTTCATAACTTTCGTCACTCCAAGCATGAATAGCAGTAGTTCAATTGACTCTAAGTTACAGAATCATTTAACTCGCATTATTCTCCCGACGCAATCGAAATTACATACGTTACAATCGGAACAGTCAAGACGTAGCGTCCCCGAATATGCGATAATTCACTCTGTGACTTACGTTCACGGTAATAACTCGCAAAATTTAATCTCACGATTTGAATTTAAATAGACAACCCAGCCTCGATCGCCGAAGAAATATCAGGACGAAGGTGTGGAAACGGATTAAACTATAATATATTCTTCTACTTCGACGATCAATTTCCTCCTTGGAAGCCGTTTCACATAAAATTAAATGGAATTTTACACATTCGTCAGCCGATAATCTAATCCACCGAAACGCGTCCAACCATCGACATCCCGGTTGTAATTTATTCAGCACCAAAGATGAACGTAAAATTGTGTACCAGAAAGTACATTTTCCGAACAATATCATGTAGCGTTCGGATAATGGACGGGTGGGCGGGAGGGATAATCGAGGCTCCGCTGCATTATTTAACTCCATCGCCGGTTTCGGTCCAAATCTCCGATGCAATTGCGAAGCCGAGCACACTTAGCCGGCACTTTCGCACGCGGAACCTATACAGTGTGGTCGCTTATTGCTGAACAGTCAGAAATAAGACGATTGTGAGGAAATAAACACGAAATTCTAAATAATGCTTTTACACGTTTAGAACTTTTCCCGAGATAAATAATATGTAAAAATTTGTTGATTACGCGAGTATATAATTGAAACAATGAACATTTTTTATTTTTCGTTTTATTTCAATAAAACTTTTACCAACATGTTTGTGAAATTTTTCTGATTAAAATGACACTAAACACTGTTCCACACTCAGTTCCTTTGATTTAGAAGAGAACCCATACGACCGGTTAAGTATTTGTCAAAAACTCAGGTGAATTCCTATTAATGTAACTCGTTTAGAAACACTTCTGTATTTACGTTAAATTTTTATAAATTCCCCAGAAATCTTTCGCGCAAAAGCTGGCCTGATCAAAGCGGTCAAAAATGAACGACTTCAATTAAGAAGCACCTTACATTCTAAATACGTTCAGCTAAAAGGGGATGGAAATGAAACAGATTCATGAAATTTTAATGCACCGAGAGAGTTTTTGTCCCTTTGAAAAATTAGAATTCCTTCTTTCGCGTGGCCCTGTTAGCGACCCGTCAATTCTTAATTCGTTGTCAAACGATGTGAAACGAATACACGAATGTCCGCGACACGGTACGGTGTTTGACCGTCTCAGGTGAATTATGGATGAGCAAAGGATCAGCCTGACCTCTATCTTTTCATCTTCGTAACCTACCATTATTCCTCCGGATAAACCGTCCAAAAGAGTCTCCACCGACCTTTATTTCCACGCAAGACGACTGACTGACTCCGTGGGCAACGCGGTACGATGAAACGAAGTGACAGAAAAGGGGTCTGGAAATTCACGGACTTACCCAACAGGGGCACGGCGTCCGATGTCGCTGGCATTGTCTCGGCCACCATATTCAGGAACACAGTGAGGGACAAGAGAATGGTTACCCCTGCAAGAGAGATTCGTTGATCCATGCGATTATATCAAATGAATTATTGCCAAATGAATTTACTAAGTCGGTGCATATGTCATTTCATTACGTTCCAAAGGCAGAATTATTTTTTCGTTTCACACTATAATACATCGATAATGTTTATCAACTATTGCTAGAAATATTGAGAGCGGATGAACGAAAGGTTTTCATGACTGCGTCGTTGTAATTAATTTTTTACAGAAAGTATACGTTATTCGTGTTCTTTCCAAAATCTTTATCTAGGATAAATGTCCCAGTTAATACCAATGTCTCTAATACTGCCACTTCATCCATTTTAGTTAATGAAAACTTAATGCATGAAATGCATTTTAAAATCTGCAGTTTAAAAACAAAAATTTATTCAGAAAGATCAATTCTTTATGATTAGAATAAAACGGAAACGAACATCGTGCGACAAACTGTTCCGAAGGTCAAAATTAATTTTGTACAGTCTATTTTCATTTCAAAATCATAATTTTTTACATATCCTAGTTTTGGAAGAAATTCCTTATGGGAAAAATGATGACTTAAACCGGCCCTAATTTCACATGGACTGCATCTCTCAATTTAATACAAAATCTTTGACATCCAGTCCAAGAACTAACCGATTTGTTGTGGAATGGCCCTGCACAATTTTTACATGTACATACATACACTACTGCTCGTAAGTATTATGACATTTGGTCTCTACGAAGAAAATTGGATGTTTCGTACACATTATATAATTTAGGTCACTCTTATTACTTTATAGTAACATAAGCGTTATCCATCGAGCTTTAATACTCCTTAAACAATATTTACGCGACACCATCAGCAATTTCGTAATGCCTTGTAACATTTACTGCTCATTTGGTAAGTGTCCTAGTACGAATGAGCAGATTCGAATGCAAAGTTTCTCACTGCATAATGACAAGTAGATTAATGTAATAAAATAAAGTAATACAAAAATTATAGTAGGTGATAGAAAAATAATGTAATAATAATTTACTAATTCGTATGCAAATAGCAGATAAACGCGCGTTCATCATCGTTACTTCCATTGTTAACCATTCCGAGAGAATAATTGTGGAGTCGAATATTTTTATAGATCGTACGTGCGCTCTGAATCTTGAAACGTCGATTAATTCTTGGAAAACTGATCAATAAATTCCAATTGTCCGGTGATACATGAATGTCTGTGATCGATATCGATGCGATTGTAATCTCTCGTGCATTCGATACGTTACGAGAACTCGACTGAATCTAATCACGCGTACAGTTATAGCCCGCTCTCCGAGGCCTGCAAGGAATTGGAATTATTCAGCGCAGCGATTTCAACTTGCCAAGAGTGAGCGTTCATCGGTATTCGATGGGAGAACTCAGAATGAAATAATACAGCCGTGTGTATATGATCGCGCGAGGAAATACACGGGCTAAGTAAACGACTGGATTTCATAATAAATAGATTTCGCCCGTTTTGTTCACGAAACTTGCCTGGCGCGACACTTTCAATGTTGTTTAGAGAACGACAGGTACTTTACAAAATGGTTTTCAAAGATAATCGGGATTCTAATTAATTTTAATTGTAATTCGGGGGAGATTTTATTGTGTAAATATTTCTTCAAAATTCTATTAGTAGACAAAGGTGAACAAATATGCTATTCAGTTAAATTTATCCTGAGTCCTTGGAGTATAATTTTTGAAAAATTGTAAATGCAGTAGAAGGAAATCCTATTGGATCGTTCCAAACATTCGTAGCGTTTTAGAGGTATCATCTTTTGTAACAAATCTAGAAAATATGCACTATTATTGATTTGTAAAAGTTAATTTTACATCGTATGGGTTGATTTTAGGATCCCCGTTGATTAGAAATTTCTTACTTCTCTTGGTGAGTACTATGAGCGTCTAAAGCTCTTACACCCTTCTTTTGAACACCCTGTATGTAAATTGGGTTTTAACTTCAATCTTGCGATATGTACAATGGCCACGAAGCTCACCTAAAGAAAGCTTCTCGCCAGAGTCTGGTGGCAAGGTGAATCCCAGAACGGCCATGCTGGCGATAAGGACGCATGGCACGATCAGGTTGAAGAAATAGTAAAGTGTTCGCCTTCTGATGATAACCACGAACGTAATATCTATATATGGCTCCGGGCAGCAATTGTAGTAAATTTCATTCCTTTTACCAGGCACCCCTGCAACAAAAACATGTAAGTAATTATTTGAATCTGTCATAAGTTTGTGGTATTTTTTATTTAGATTAAAAGGTCAGATTAGTGTAACGATGAAATTATATTTTTCTCTGTTAGTGCGAAGAACAAAAAAGGTCGAGTTATTGACACCTAATTTTCGAATCGCTACTATTCTTGCAATTTCTATTGTAGAGTTGTAAATTGTGTTGTTTTATTTTATTTGGCATAAATAGAATTCCCGTTTTTATGCAGTCCAATTGCAAGGTTTCTGTGCAGCCTTCGGTTTGAGAACGTGCCAGGTGAAAAATTATACGTCTAAATTAATAATAAAATACTACTTGATAGACTATTAGGGCATTAATAAATACAGAAAGTTTCAAAGGAATCGGTTCTTTGAATTTGACACAAATAATTCGCAAAGATACGTTTCTCTTTAGAGCGAACACTAGTCTGGTCTCTTAATGAAATGCTATACTCGTAGTTTCAAATTAACTTCCTGCATTCAATTTATTTATAAAAATGCACGGCACAAAAAAGTTTCGCCTCTCGATCAGAATTTACAATCACGTTTTAAAAGCTTTGCTTTCTCTTGTCACTTTATTGGTAAATGTTCCACAACGGAAACTTCGCATCATTTCATAAAGTTTAATGTGCCATTGGTATTACGCAGTAGAACATTTTATTTTTCCATTTGAATTGTTTTCTATTTTACAATCTTGATTTTTCCTATTGCTCCATTTCGATGGTCAAAAGCTCAGCATATTAAAATGTTTAATATAATTAACGTGGTTCCTGTGCTAACCTCAGGTTGATAGAGCCCTTAGTAGAGTAACAAATAAATAAACAACGGCGTAATATTACGTTTTCGAAATGAATTAAAAATTCACTCGAACTGAAATTGTATACTTTGTAAGCTATTTTGCTTCCCCGAAAAGATTCGACGCTATTGTTCGATCCGACAGTAAATAAAATCATTAAAACACGACGAAGATAAAGTGCAGAATATTTGCAGCTGACAGTTTCACTAGCGGAAGGTGAAATGCTCGCGGGAATTAAAATACTGGTTCTGATAGCGATGACTCAACTGTTTTATACGGTGCACCACCATGCACTTGAATTATCTCGTGCAACATGCCGGAAGAGAGTCCACGACTTTATTTTCAAGTGTGTTTCTTCAGTTACGGCCACATTTTCCTGCAGGTGAAGTCACTTAAGATACATTTCTGCCGAGGGCTTCGTAAGCTCAGCATGGTACAAGCCCGCACATACCAACACCTCCTGTCGTATACATCCCGGAAATAAAAGCTATACGCCCCCACAGACGGGGAATATTTTTATTTTACAATTTTCGTAAAACCGTCCGTGCTCAGTTGGTACGCCTGGGAAACTGATATTGCCCAAGTATTTCACGAATATGCAACGATAAGTAATCAACCTTACAGGCCAACTTTTATCCTCCATTGTTCCCAATTGCCGTTCCGTTTCGGACGAACTTTTAATGATGCAAGAAATTGATAACTGTGCATAGGGTTGTACAGAGTACAGAAGAAGGTTACTCAAAAAAAAAAAAAATCGAAAACGTGGAATAACATTTTATTGTAAAGAGCTAAGGTTTTCAACAATTTGGAACAAATAATTCTTTGGACATTCCTTCTTTTAAATTAGGCTTGCGAATGTCTGTCTTTACTACTGGATATTTCTAATTATTGTAAATATGTGCGACGGTTGTGTAGTTTCTATTCTTCTCCTATAAAATTATATTTTAGGTAAGTATTTATTCAAATCCATTTGTTGTGAAATACCAGTTTACTATTTATTAACGTTAACGGAAGTAGATATAACCAGTATTGATCAGACGGCGGAGTGAAATGCTAATAAAATGCACGCGGATCAAACGAATTTTCAGAAATGGACACCTATAAGGAAAAATTTTGTTCTACTTTTTCGATTTGTTTTTACATGGAGACAGAGTTTCAGAAATATACTATCAATTGCAGTATTTCTTAATTTTATTTAACAATGGAAGAACAACTTTTGGCCACAGAGAAACTTGAAGTCTATTAATGGATCAAATTAAATTTGATTTTTTGTTGCGTATGTATAGATTCATCATTTATCTCATCGAAATATATCATTCCACTTTAGAATAAAATGTTACATTTCACTAGAATATTTAATATTTACTATTTAATTGAATGAAAAAATATTTCATATAAATAGACTGAGGATTTTTATGCAAAATAATATTTTATAAAGTAATTTATAAAGACAGGAGCAAATGTAGATTTTTCCTCTTAAGTATCTTATTGCGTTCAGAAGAAAATAGAAAACTCGTTGGATCCAATGAAAGTTTTGTCTTTTATTGTATTTCACAGAGCCCTATAGGCTATAAATGCATCAAATCCGCAGTCTACATATACATAAATTTCCCGTCTACCTATTTGCATGACTAAAAAATCATTTAGTTCAAATCACCTAGTGAAATATTTATTGACGAATTCAATCTATTGTTTCACTGAAATTGGTATTGACTAATTTAAACGACTGAATTGACGATATGTTCTTCCAATTAAATTAATCAGGGAAAATTAAATGAATAACAACTGACCTATAAAATCAACTATTTTGTGAACGTTTCATTATTAACGAAGTCACCGGTCACGTCGGAATCGATGAAACGCAAAATTAGGTGGGTAACAGGACAGTTATTCTCGAGTTTACTTAGTACATTTTCCATTGAGAAATGTAAACTAAATGTCTCTTTCTGTTGACAATTTCGGGAGAAATAATGAGCAGCCGCAGCATTCACAGTTCGCGGAAAAGTAATCGCATCCGTTCGCTTGCATTGGAAGTCGCCGATTCAGCGCAAACATGGCGAGATATGTCGCAGTATGAGAGCAAATAATTCAGCACGGAACTGCGCTAATGATAGATTATTAACACTTTACGGTCCGTGGTGTGTATTAAGCCGAAACGCCGTCTGATTAATAAAAATTGTGGCTGTCGTGAATGCTGATGTAAAAACACATATTAAAGTTAAAGTGATCTGTTTTTTTCACACTTTCCACTTATCGACAGACACAATAAATTTTAACGTTTGTAATTGCTTTTACACTTCCAGCCAGTTTAATATAGCAGTCTTTTTCTAACCAACGAAAGTCAAACAGAGGTACGTATATTAAACGTTTGACACAATTAAGTATCACTATTTACGACTTTCATACAATAAAATAAGGTATAATCTCTACTCTATTTATTTATTGTTTTATGATACATAAAACTCACGACGTTTTTCAGCAATCTCTTTGACAGATTTTTTTATGTAGGAAATAATAATAGCGGTTAATTATTATATAATACAGGAGATTGGATTATTAATTAAATAAGTTGTTACTATTCACAATTTTTTGCTCTATTTTCAATATTACAAAACGAAAAAATCTACCAGTCTCGATCACTCTAAAAAATTGAGAAACACACGTTTACAATTACGCGTTCATTAAAATCTATTAATTATAAAGTCCGCAAGAGTTCCATAAATCAATAAATCGCTACCCACCGATCCCCGTTATTTAACCGCAATTAATAAAGTAAACCTCGAAAACGTGCCCGCCGACGGTGTCGTTCGGACCGCCTTCCAGTTGCAAAATGAACCGTCAGCAAATGAACAAGTCAGTTAATTGATTTCGCGTTTCGAAAGCAAACGGGCGTCGTTATTACGTGCGTAAAGGTGGTGGCCTGGCCACGATCGAAATAATTAGAGTGATTTCGTATCGGAACACGAAGTTCTAATTAATTTTCAAACCGCCCCACCACCCCACCGTCAAACCAGAAAACGTTACTGCCATGTGTAGCCGGGACGAAAATCTGGATTAGATGGAGATCGGCCGTAAGGTGCAGCTGCTGTCGCGCGACGAAACGATTGATCGCGGGTCCTTTGTGTCAAGGGAAGCAAGCGTTCAGAAGGGTTGGGGGGATGATTTTAGAATTGCTAATCGCCAAGGAATTGCTTCCACGGCGAGGAAACTACTCGGCTGTGTCAGATAAGGGCTGTAAAAACTCACCTAACAGATCCCACTCGCCGTTCGTGATGAAACTGCTGATGTCACCTCCGGACTCGTCTTGCAACTGCAGGTCCAACTGTTGACAATTTATTGCGATCGGTTAGAGGATATCTGGCATAATTGTTTTCCTCCCTGTGTTGATGGAGGAATTGGGACACGAGGTGTCTTTCAAGAAACATTAAGGTCCTTTTCCCCGGACGGAAAAGCGAAACTTAGGGATTTTTATTTTAATGGAAGCAAAGAAGATATGGTAAAAGAACTTTCTGGCCTTTATTTATTATACATTCGGGTAGGTAAAGAAAAGTTTTGTTTCAATATTCTTGTATTGTAGGTGGCGCTAATCGTGTTGATCCGAAATTGCAGTGTATACAAACGGTGCCCATCGTAACGTAAGAAATTATTAACCCTATATGGGCCGAATTTTTTTCAAAAAATCATATTTGAGGACAATGTTAAAGAACCAGTATATTCGTGTAAGTTACGAAGGTACTTTCATCTGTCCCTACCGTCATATTTCAATTTGATATCGATGATAATTAATTTTCCCTATTTCCTCAGAAGCATAGCTCACGATATAACTTGCAAGAATATTCCGTGTGTCATTTTAAATTAAACAGAATATTTAGAAAACGCCTCCTTTCATTTAGATTTCCCTCTGATCGACTTCCGTGCGAAGTGGAAGAACGCGCGGTGCGCCATTGAAACGGTGACATTAATTGCTGGACGCAAAAGGATGCAAATGCAAGGGGGAATGATCGAACGTGGAAGACTATTTTGCATCTCGTTCGTTATTTACCGAATCGACTCCGAGCGAGGGAACAGTCCCCACGTTTCACTTTCCCCGTTTCGCTCGGTCTCCTCTTTCCTGTCTTCGCGCACTACTACTTCGCCACGCTTATTGTCGTTCCTAATGAACCTCCAAGCATTCTCGAATTCCGTCGCGTCGTATAATTTGCATTCTCAATTTTAATTATTCAAAATATTCGCCAGCGACGAATGTAGGCGGGGTCAGGAATTTTCAACTTCTTACATAAATATCGGCTCAAGAGGAATTTCCGGTCTAAAAATTTAACAAATTTAAGAAAATCGATTCTTCTTTATTTCATCTCTCGAATCTTCAGCCGTTTAAGAATACGCGTTTAAAGCGGCTCCCGCAAATTTGTAATAATTATAAATTTAATTCACAATTTAACAGGACTTCAAACTTCAACTTTCGATTGCTACATTCGATTGCAACCGGCGGAACACAAGCGCGCCAAAAGAAGTTAGAGTTGCTTGAAAAAAAGAAAAACCGAGTTGAAAATGGAATATGAAGTTCCGAGAGGGTTGTTGCATTGTGTAGGAATAACTGATTAAAGGTAAAAAGTTTTAACTTACTTTATTGTACAATTTATATTAGCACACCTTGTACATGCAAAAAAGTTGTGGTCTAGATATTATTATCATTTTTCAACGAAAATATAATATATTGCTTATTAACATTGACATAACAAACTTCGCAAACAGGTGCAAACTATTAAGAACGCCCAAATTTGTAAATATTTTCTTTACTCCAGTTTTACATTAACTGATAGTTTAAGCCAAATGAACCATTTATTATTCATTGTCAACTACGTTTTCCTTCATTAGCTGTAACTTTATTCCCTGGTAGTAGCATTATACTTTATTCTAGTGGAATTTCCATGCTTAAGCGGTAGAAATTCATTTTCCGATCCTACTGTGAAAATTAATCCAATTGAAAGTTAATTCTGATGTTTCTCAAAGCTTGAAAATTCACATTCATAGTGGATTGAAGTTTATTTTACATGAAGACTTCTTTTCTAAGAGAATATATATCATATGGGTCGTCTGGATCTATCCTGTATATGATATAATACAAATATGTACTATAAACTAAAAATGTCAATGCCGATCAATAATATTTATATTCTATGTCTAACCCAATGAAATATATAATAAGTAAATCTATCGTCCATTTTATTTTTACTCCCCTTTTAACACTGAAACTACCGACTAGTATACTAGTTCCATCAAATCGATAAAAACGACAGTATTTCGAAACTATACAGATCTATAAATTAATTAAATTGTTTAAACAAAAAAATCACGTAAAATATACTGTTACAACGTAATAATTCGAACGTAATAATTAACAGGAGAGTTTACGAACCTATCATATTGACTGTTTCGATCATTCTAGCGTTAAATTGATTCGTGAAAAATGAATTTGTATGCGCATCCGCTGTCTACATAGTCATAACGATTTAAGATTGTCATGATTACAAAGTATGTATCCTGAATGAGAAGTCCGTGTAAAGTTTAAAGGAACTAATCACTCACCTGAAAACCATCGTACGTCCACGAGCCGAATTTCATTTCGCAGCGCTGATCGTCAAAGGGGAACCAGGTAATGTCTATCTTGCAAGTGCTCTTGAAGATACCAGGCGGTACGTATAAGCAGGTCCCATTGTTCTTGACGACGACGTTCGTCGGATAAGTGCCATCGAACCCTTCATCCGCGCTGTAACGAACAACCGTTAACGTTTAACGCGTTTGAATTCGGTTTAAAAATACGTTTGATCACCGTTCGAGCCTTTTATTAACCCTTTAATGCCGACCGGTTACAAAAATTTACGGGATTACAAACCACATTTTTTATGGTATCAAGTTCAATAATGATGTGAAAATCGATTGAAAGAAAAAACATAGTCGATACAACACAAGTTCATGTACATTTAAGATCGATATCGTATTTATTTATCGCAGGAACGAATACTGTTAGCAATTGTAAAACGAATATATTTGGAATGAGATTGCCGAGATCGATTTTGCTTTTCGTTGCTGATTGGAAATGAAAATTTATGATCCTTTACACAGGCGATAAATGGTTCTATAGTTTTCGACACTTGGGAGTTATTCGGTTGTTGAAATTGATACTTAGCGAGTGTTTATGGCTCGATGGACTATTTATATCATTGAAGATCATGTATCTGTACATTTTATGTAACTGTTTGTAACTGTAAATGGAGACTAACATTTTCTGTAATGAGTTTTATTTCCTGTATTATATTAAATCTAACGATTTACTGAGGATAAAAATGAAGGATATTATCATTCCCTTATAGAATAGTAATTTAGTACAAGCAATTTCTATTCAAATTTTCATCTGAAGCTTTATAAACGGTAATGCTCTTTGCTTCAGGGGTAATCTATTTTTATTCTTCGTAGTCCTTAACGACCTTTTATTCTCGGTACAGGTGTCTCTGAAAATTGAAACATTGAATTCAACTGCGTCCTGTTGCCAAGCTGTTTCGCGCTAAAATCGATTTATTGCGTTTAAACCAATTTAGAATGCACTGAATGTAACATTCTGTTTTTAAATATTTTAGTGTTGTCCTCTGCTCTAATTCACTTTTTATAGAATAAGAGAACCAGCGAATGCTGCTGTATTTAAAATTTTTGTGTTTTCAAAGAATAAGGATTGCCTTTGTTTATAATAAATATCCTGCAATGTATACAGAGTATTTATTACTTCGTTAATATATATTTGGTCTTGCGAGATATATTAATGGAAAATATGCGTTAATAAATTTAGAAAAATCTTAATTTCAGTTTCTTTTATGAGATTACCTAATGTTGCAACCGTTCAGATTAAAGTAATGGAATATATTCCGTAAACCAATTTTCGGCACATTTTAATTCAGTGCAGGTATGTACTCTGTGTCCATTTATGCAAATACAGACTTACAATTAAATGAATTAATTTACATAAACTGGTATGAAACTTTTTAAATTAAACTATTATTAAATTATTTACCATACTGCATTTTATACAAGCGACAAACCGCAAATCTATAAAATCCACAGTCCTATTAATGATGTATTCTTTAATAGTAAAGAAGTGGAGGACTAAATGGTTTAAATATGATCATGTGTAAAGAACTTCTATAGTATTTAATAAAATATGATCATGTGTAAAGAACTACTATAGTAATTAATTTTTCATTCACTACCCGACTGTTAGATTGTAAGTGTAAAAATTTAGCTGCACCCATGTCTCTGTTTTCAAACTGTAAATTCTAATTGTCGAGCAGCCGCCTGATTTATTGTCACTACGTGTCCGCACGATAAATCAGAGGTATCGGAAATAATACATGTATTTGCTTTCCATTTACATAGAAACTATATATACTAAATTGTATAAACAACTTGTCATGTTACCATTAAGGACTCTGTCATCTACTAGACGCTGTAACGCTACTACTCAATTTTTCAGTCTCGCGCGGCGCACAAAGTGGATGGATTGGGATGCCAAGAAAGAATGACGTTGATGCATCAACACGCATTTTCTTTGAAGCTTTCTTCTCCTATGATCCTTTATGTATGTCCCTTCCGGTTTCGTAATTTTTCACATATTAGTACTTTTTGAAAGTATATTCCAATTATACTGTTAACAAGATCTCACATTGTTCTCCATTTCTATCAGTTCTATTATTATTCAATGTTCATAGGGGAAGGTTGCCAAATTTGGACCATCGTCTACGTTGGACACTACGGTAACCTGTCATGCGTAAGCAATTTACGTCAAATTATGTACGATGTGTGTATGATAGTGGTGATTGCATCGACTAACTCATGACCTATAAGCAACACATATTGATCATAAGGCCCAAATTGTTTACACATAACAAGTTACAGTGTTGGTCCAACCTAGGCAATGGTCCAAATTCATCAATTTTATCCTATATTCTGTCGATGCAAAGATGTTTGCTGGGTTTGCTCTAAAAGAGTGGACAAATAATAATTTTTTGATATAGGTATTTTCAATAGAAATTTTTAGTCCAATAAACAAATTTTTGGAAAATTATATTGAAATATATTGTTGAAACTTATATAAATAAAAGTATCTTGTATTTATTTAACCACTAACACGATCTTTTCAAACCTTTTCTGCATATCAAATATCTGCAGATTACTCTAAAGTGTATTAATGTAACTTTATATACCTTGTACCTGTAGCAACAAACAGTAAGGAATTTTCAAAAAATACCTGTATTCCTTTGAAGAAGGATCGCACGGTAACATGAATTAGCTTTGAATTTTCACAAAAAAATTCGAGTTCCACGTACCTAAATGTAAGAATAATATTAATTATATTAATCTCAAGAGTTAGTCTAATGTATTCAATAACATTCCGTCGAAATAATTTTCCAGGTTTATTGCAGAGTTCATGAAATTCAACAGATCCCTTATAAGGAGAACCGTGATCCAAACATTGGCAAATTTTGCTCGCTGGGTCGCCCAAGGGCAATTTAAACCTTTAAGCCGAAGCAGCCATTAGGAAGGACGTCGAGCATTCAATCGAGAACCATCTAACTTGCACGTTCGATTCCCTTCTCCATTTCAACTTGCTTCATTTAGCTACGGTGACAGCGAATTGCGAATTATCGGAAAGTCAGTGAAAAAGATAGATTGCTTGCTGGTAATCTTTTTGGATTCAGACCGCGGTAACTCATTTATAATCATGAAAATGAGCCGAACATTGTTTTATTATAACTATTAGAAACACGCTTCTTGGAATCGAATACATATTTTTTTCGTCTTGGGCAATAAAACGATCTTCTTCTCTGATATAATTCTCCGAATGAAAACAAATTTTTCTGTAATACAATAATGTGTACGTACTGTATAATAAAGTATTTGCAACAATTCCAAGCAGAATTAATTACTTCCATGGAATTATAGAACATATATAAATTTTTTTCATAGATTTAGTATCATGAACTTTTATTATACATATATCTACACTTACTGTAGTTTTATTTAGGAACTGTTTATTCTATCCTCACATTTTAAAAATAAATATAAGTTAATGGTTTTAATATATTTAATTTCTGCTGTATCGATTTATTATATTAATTATCGTGGAAGACAAACAATATCGTAACATTAACAATTAAATTGGTGGGAAATGAACGACCACTCACCATTGAAACATTTATTGTTGTAACTCCATGTAGTCGCACAGATTCATCAAAATAATATTCACTATGGTTCTCTTTTAATTCTACGATTAAAAAATCTATCTTGTATTCTATACTATAAATATTCAAATAGCCATTCACTTTGCAGTAAACTAATAGAAATAATTAATAACCGAATGAATAAATTGTCACAAGGAATGGATGAGTGTTAAGTCTAAGCTTATAATATACAGGACGAGGCAGTAAGAAATACTATCTACAATAACTCATTACAAATTGGTTGTATCAGAAAACATTTTAACGTACTATGTAGTATTTTAAGGTACGCATCAGACGGTAACAATTTTATTTCTCATATCTTTTATTTTTTGAGACATCAAGGTGATCTTGAGTTTTTTCAAGGATAGTGTATCTTTTTTTAATACCATCATGATGTAGGTCGCTGAATTCGTCCTTCCATGAGCAACAACGTAGTATTGAAAAAAAGATACCTTGATATCTAAAAAAATGAGATACAAACAACTGAAACTGTATCCCTCCGATGCGTCCCTTAAAATGCTAGATAATTCATTAAATTTTTTTCTGATACAATCAATAGGTAACGAGTTATTTTAGATAGTAGTTCTTATTGACTCACCCTCTATAACTTTTCTGAAAGCTAGCGTCGGACTAATCGTAAACACGCCGCAGGACCGCCTTCTTGTAACATCAACGTAACAGCAAACAAAAAGAGAAACATCTATGACTGAATTCATTCGTCCAATACTGTACACGGTCCAATCATCGCACACGTATATCAATTTACCTGATTGTCTTCGATTACAGCGACTTTTCGAGTGACCTATCCGAGGTAGCTGGGTTAACAAGCGTGCCGCATATAGAGGACAGGATCGTAAACTGAGTAAAACTGTTACCGTAGCTCATTCCGTACCAGACGGTCCATAAATCTAATTGTTCAGGTATTCTGTACGTATCCCGGCACGGTTCGCCGAGAAACGAAGCGAAATCTGTCAAACGAGAAAACTTTCCTCGCGGGTAAGTACACAGATATCATTCCCGTCCGAAGAACCGAGTCACAGTCTCCGAAAAATCGTCCCGATTCCCTTAATAATATCATCGCATTCGAATAAATCTCAGCAGCTACCCAACTCCACAGTGATCGAGAATAAAAATTTAGCAGGTCATACGCTTATTTAGCTCAACTCATAACAAACTTTATTCAAATAGAAGTAGATAGATGAATTAATTGTTCTATATTTTAGGGATCCTCTTCGATGACGTCATGATTTACGAACGGTCTGCTGAACGTCTTCATAATAATTTGAATTTTTAGAGAATTTTTTTTTCTCTGTAAAATTGCTCAATTGTTTATGGCACCAACCTAAGTATTTTGCTGCACTTGGTTGGCGCTATTTCTTGGGCTTAAGGGAGGAACCGCCATTCTTACTTGCAACGTCCCTTTTACTTATTCGCTTGTAACTCGTATGCAACACAAGACATTGAAAAGAAGTTTCGAAAATTGTGTATCCTTTTCAAT